TGTGCTTGAGCATGGCAGCGAGTACCTGGGTTCCAATTCTTGGAGGAAACGATGGTTTTATTGTATATAGTAATAATATTTTCATGTCTCCTAATGTGTGTTGAGAGTGAATGTATTTATTAGCGAGAATGTGTAGTGTTAGAGGGTTGATGTCAGAATAGTGAATTGAATACCCCATTGGCCTTCATTAGCTTAGTTATACATTCCTTGGAGGATCTGACTCGCAGAAGAAGGGTCCCTTAAAAATATTTATATTAAGGATAGGCCATGCGAGGTTGACACATGGACACTGACTTTTGGGCTAAAGCCTGCCTATATATCTGGCGTGTAAAGAGTGCTTGATATGTACCACTTCATTAAAGGGTGCCATGCATTGGGTCCATGTAGAGAGCATGTAGGAATGCCACTTGATATGAAAATTGTGCTTGAGCACAGTAGCAAGTATTTTGGTCCCTTGTCCTGTTTCTTGATGGAAACAGGGTTGTTTTATCGCATATAGTAATGATGGTTTTATGTCCCTAGTTTGTGTTGAGAGGGAATGTATTTATTGGAATGAATATGTAGTATGTTCTGTGAGAGGATGGATACTCAATATTCCGCCATGACATAGCTGTTGTTAGTCCTTGGAGTTCAATCCCTGAGGCTGGATAAGACCGAGGTCTGATCCTAGACTGCCAACACCCAGAGTGGCCGTGATTCACAAGGCCGCCAGGCCTATTGTATTGTAAATTACACAAAAGCTGGAATTGCTGGCAAACTGGGAGAGTGTTTGGTTCAACTCTGTACTGTGTAGATTTGAGCTTATATAAATAAGTAATCAGTAAATCAGCTATATTTATATTCATTGAGGTTTGTGGTGGCAACCTGATAAAAAGAAAACTGATGCCAGAAAACCAAAAACTTATCTACATTTTTAATATTTATCAATTACAAAGTGGACAAGGAATATGGTCATCAATCACTAAAAGGGGAAAAAAAGAAAAAAAGAAAAAAAAAACTGGATGGATTTTGTACAAGGATAGAAGTTGTCAGAAATTTAAGAATATATTATTTCTACGGTATAATTTTTTGTGAACATTACTAAAAATGTTATAAAAATAATTATGTATATGTATGTGTAACGTAGCATGACTATACGTATTTTGAAAATGAGTATTTGTTAATGATATGGTATTTAAAAGCAAACGGTTATTGAAAAATCTAATCTTGATAATTTATCTTTACTACTGGACCAAAAGAGCATTGATACATAAGGGGCAACACAATCTTTTGAAGTAAACTGTTAAATGATGAAAATATATAGAAAAGAAGAAATAAATATGACTGTTTGCTATAGTCTGAAGTCAGAAAAAAAGAAGATTCTGATGTAGTATAACAAAAACATTAACTGTTGACGAAAAGCCAGTATATTATAAACAGAAAGGGGTGAGCTAGAACCATCAAGAATTGTATCATAGCCAGTTTTTGTATTGTGGAACAAATATAGACCCTAGTAATAAAATGTTTATTTGTAAAGATACTTCACTGCTGTCAGTATCTTTAGTAATGGAGCAGTGATGAAGGGGAACCATGGCAGTGGCCTGACTGTTTATAGACCTTAAGCTTAATCATCAGACTTTAGAAGAGAGAAAGTGCTCTGAGTGAACTCAGAGCACTATTCTCAATTTGTTGGTTAGGCTTAGTGCCTAGAGATCAGGCTCAGGCCGGGTTATCCATTCTCTCTTCTTCACTACCACTGTCACTATTTTTAGTAGTGGCAGCAGTGAGGTGAAGGAGAGAAAATGGATTACCCTGCCTATGGCCTGACCATCCCTAGACCCTCAGCTAACCATACCTAGATATACTGCCAGCTGTGAAGTATTTTACATGTATATACATTTTTTGTGATTTGTTTCACATCTTATAACAGGTGAAGAATGAAGCATAAATTAACTCAATTTTCTCAAAATCAGAATAAAGTAAAATAATATAATATTACAAAGGCAAGTGGAAAAATAAATAAATACAATAGTAAGTATATAGTAAACAGACAAGGAAAAGTGAAAAGAGTGCAAGAAAGAGACAAGAAAAGGGAACAATTTTATATATTTTATGTATACATAAAAAAGTAATGGTCAATTTGTCAATTTGTTTAAAAAAGGTCACTATACTGGCAACAGGATGTAATCCAATTTTACAAAACAAAAGCAAATCTTTTAAAACAGATGTTGTTAGCAAGTATTTGTTGCTTATTTGGATAGATAACAAACTCAATTTATAAATTAAAAAAAAAAAAAAAATGAAAACCATGCTTGTATGCAATAATGGTAGAAACAAAGTTTTGCTTAATAGAACATCAAGCGACTGGGTATTGTGAAAAATTCAAAGGGAGGATTATTAAAACGATAATTCTACTCGACTTCCAAAATTAAATTGCTGTTTCCGCAAACATTCCATTATCTCATAAAATTGATGAAAAACGACAAATGTTAATATTGTTTGTTGATACGGTATAAGCAACCCGCATCGTTATTAGCGAACTTTGCAGTACACTTGAGCAAAGAGCTAAATGAATACATTTATTAATGTATATATGAAATTTGCTTAATACATTAATATTTGTAATAATTGTATTAACTCGACGAAATTTTAAAAAAAATTTGTGTGACTTATCTTGCCCTACAAGCACAATTGAAAAATTTCAAATGTTGATGCTGGGTGTTGGTCTGCAAGTAGGTGAACTCTTGCTGAACCAGCATTGGACCACTTATCGGGTCTGTCTTTTCTCACGTAATTTTTCAATTACTCAAATGGCATTGCGCCATCTTCAGTGAAGAACTGAAAATGCCTTTGAGTAGTTTAACAAATATGTGAGAGAAGATTATTAACAAAGTATTATTATTAAATGACAATTAATTAAGGTTTTTAGTTGAGATGAAAAAAGATAATGGCACGAGAGGGATTCGAACCCTCAACCTTCGGCTAGATACGCCGCTGCTCTACCACCTGAGCTATCGTGACCTCGATCCACTCGGACATCAACTCCCCATCTCAACCCCACCTTATGAGTTTTTTCCTTCCTTTTGCCATTTTTCAAATGTCGTGTAATCGGTTTGGATTCTCGACGACAATTGAAATGGCGACGGAGAGCTTTAGTGAAGTGTACTTCATTTTTAAATAATTAATTCACTAATTTCGTGGTTGAGTTGGGGAGTTGATGTCCAAGTGGATCGAGGTCACGATAGCTCAGGTGGTAGAGCAGCGGCGTATCTAGCCGAAGGTCATGGGTTCGAATCCCTCTCGTGCCATTAGCTTTTTTTTCATCTCAACTAAAAACCTTAATTAATTGTCATATATTAATTGGTCGAGCAGACCACGAAATTAGTGAATTAATTATTATTAAAGAACGATTATTAAAGAATTATAGTAGAAGTATTTATACAAATCTGTAATGATTTTTGCACTTGCAAGTCTCCTTTTGTACTTTTTGTTGTTAAACAATTGTTTGGAATGACCAGAATCATTTGTGATTCAACTAAATTCAATCATTCAAAATCAGATTGTGCAATTAAATTATAACATCGTATGAAAAAAATTAAGATTTTTATATTTCATACTGTTCTAACCCTCTGTTTAAATCGCAAAGATGCTTGCTAAAATGAATCTCTTTGAGTGTAATTTTCTTCGATTTAAAATGCAATTAAATTTAAATTAAAAGAATTATTATTATTTTTAGTTAGAAAGGAGGTATTAACATATTTTCTTTTCTTTCTTAGAATACAATTTGCCAAAATATTCAAATTTAAGACTTTTATTATTATTATTATTATTTTTAAACGAGGGTTTGCAACACCAATGGATCGACCCTCGGGGTGTTGGTGTTTTTGGAAAAAAAAGAAAAAAAGAAAAGCTATTTGTAAGTATGTCAGGTTCGAATGCATGGCCTCATTTGACCCGGGACCTTTACCTCACAGTGATGACCGCCTTGTCAACGCCTTAACTATTACCCTCCCTCCTCCCCAAGGCTTTTATTAGAATATAGATGCATTAAATTCAATCCACAATAATTAAACCAATTATTTAAGAATTTATATTAATTTGTTTATTGACATGGCCTGGTGAAATTTTATATCTGTGGGTTTTATAAATTAATTTTATGTATAGTGTGATATTTCTGACATTACATAATTTAAAAAGTTGTATTTGGCTGTTGGATAGTATTAAAATTGTATTATATATCAGAAAGTCTCATTATGAAAGTCTTTCTCCTTTTTATTTTCAGAAAGCATACACAAAAATTCTAGTTAATGAAATAATTAGTTTTCTCAGGCAGACGTCTACTGATGTTTACTTAATTTGATCATTACTTGGTATAAGATACCCAAATGTGGTTTATAACTTGTTAACGGCCATGGGTTCATTTCAATTTATATTAATCATTTTTGAAGATATTGAGTGTTGGAAATTGCTGCAATTGTGCATTGGTGCATTAGCTAGCAGTGCATAATCCGTTCATTGCACAACTGCTAAATTGCCAAGTACAGTACCGCTGACAATAAGTTTTGAAGATAATTTCGTCGATTTGGCCGGGTTGGTGGCAACGCACGTATAGTCTCCGGCGTGTTCCAGTCCTACTCTTCCTATAGCCAAAGTACTGGAGTAATCATCTTTTGATATGTGTATGCCCAGGCCAGAGGTTATCCTCATCTCATCTTTAAACCATTGTAAAGTTAGTGGAGGGTCTCCTGCTTGAACGACACATTGAACCTGTGTCCTGACCCCTTCTATTAGCTCTCCAAATGTAAATGGACCTAATTTAGGTGGCACTGAAACAACACATACTATCTACGGAAAAATTGAAATATTCACCGAAAGGACAAATGAACCAATTACATATTCATCAGGATGTGAATTTATGACAAATCCTTTACACTGCACCCATGGATCTGCACATTATTACTAATAAATTACAATAAAATGGATGTTCAGGTTATTTGCCCTTTGGTGTTTAGATTCATTACCATTTACTAAAAGCTGTGCAGTGTACTTCGCAGTAGCTACTTCATTTTTAGCAATGCATGTGTAATTTCCGGCGTGCTCTTTTGTCAAAGAGATGATCGCCAAGGAACTTGTGAATTGGCCAAATTGCCTGACGATAACATCGGATGAAAGTGGTCCGGAATCTTTTTCCCAACCAAGTTGTAAGGGAAGATCACCTTTTGTTACAAAACACTGAAAGCCGACTCTGTCACCAACATGCAGGTCACTTTGAAGGACGAAAGGCGATATCTTCGGTGGAACTGCAAAGCTATTTATTAGCCTAATACCAAAGGATTGCAGGAAAACAAGATTTTAAACAACATTATTGATGTGAAAGGCATTACAATTAACTAAATTAACCTTTTTCATCCATTTCATTGTCTTAAAAAAAATGTGGATTGAAAAACAATGGCAAAACAAAATATATTCAAATATTTTTTCATCTATTAAAAGTAGATAGGCTTTTTAAAAATATTGATTTAATTTGCTTGAAACAGAACACTGAGAAAGCTTCAATGGGATTATTCATTTGTAAAAAAAAAAATATTGTACAATATTTGTTTAATCCACTTGGTGGGGGTGCCATTGTAAATTTTTAGTGATAAAAGAGATGCAAGTTATTTTATATATATTATGTATGCAATCAAAGCTTTCTCATTTCTTCGACTGAAAAGCTGAAACTTCTTATTTGTATACAATAAATGCTGGTGAAGTTGGATAAAAATATTTTAATTATATTATAACCCACATTAATTTAAGGACACAAGAAAAATTAAACATTCATTAGTCAATTGTAAAATGTTAGGGTTTTCCTAATTCTTGTCTTACAGGGAGGAGGAGGCTATCCATTAGGTGTCATGGATGAGGGGTCAAACCACTTTACAGTGCATTAAAAAATCATGGACTCTGTCGGGATTTGAACCCAGAACTGCTAGTATGGCAAATACGATCCAATAACCTGGCTACCACCATCCCCTTTAGTTGGCAACTATTACTCTTCCAAACTTTTGTCGTTATACCCTTTATGTATGGTGCTCTTTTACTGCGGATGATTAATATGGAGACTAAGTGGGGGGTTTTGTGATCCCCAAGCACTGCAGCCTTCTGGTTTATTGTACATTTCTTTGTTCCTTAGGTCAGTGCAATGGACTTGATCCTTTTTTTAAGAGGTACTAGATCATTGCTGCAGTTCCTTTTCACGAGTTTTCTTTGTCTCCCAGATTTTGTCTCTATTGAGCAGTTAGTTTGTATATGAAGATGATATGGCTGGATGTTTCTTCCATCGCATTGCATCATCTGCAAATGGGGTCATCACTGAATACATGTAGTTGTTTTCTCAGATGCCAGTGACCAGTATAGAGTCTTATCCTCTGAGTTTAGCTATCTGTAACTGTAGCAGTGAGTTTGCCAGTTTAGGTTAGGGTTCTTTTATCATTAGTTTACTAATTTTAGTGTCTGGCACCTTTAGACTGTATCCACTTCTCCTTTTGTCTTTTTTAGATCCATTCTGAGATGGAGGCTTCTATACAGTCTATTCTGGTCGAGTAATTCCTCATCCTTACCCTGTATGGAAGGCCCATTTTCCCTTTTCGTCTGAAGCTCTTCTCCTCCTTGATTTCTAGAGGCCCTGTATATTCCCTCTGGTCGAATAACACCTCTGTATCTTTGCTTTGGGCAGAAGGGCCTCTATTTCTTCCAGTGGACTTGTTCTGTTCTCAATGCTGGGCCCTTACAATTCAGGCCACGACAGCCGTTAGGCAACACGTTCCTTCTGTTGATCTCAGGGTAATCTGACAAATGTGCAAAGGGAGCCTGAAGTCAGAGTTTAACCCTCTCTAGCCTGTAGCAGTGAGTTTGCCAGTTTTGGTGAGGGTTGTTTTAGCATAAGTTTACTGTGCCTAGCACTTCTAAAGTTTATCCATTCCTCCTTTTGTCTTTTGTGGATCCATTCTACGATGGAGGATCCTGTTGTTTTTGTCACCCCAGAATAGCTACAGTGCAGATGTCTGGGCAGTTTGTTCGCATTTTCATTACCCAAAACTCCTTTGTGTCCTGGTACCAAGTATATCATCAGGTTATTGTATTTCCCAAGGTTTTGGATGCATTAACTGACTAATTTTGATGTGATTATTTTACATGCACTTTAATGGCTGCTTGGTCATCTGATCTTATGAGGATATTTTTGTCAGTGTCTCTTTTAAGATTTTCTAAGGAAAAAGCATTGATGGCATGAGTTCGATTGCTCATATTTTGCGCTTGTACAGAAAATGTGTAATTTGGTTTCTTCATTTGTTTTGGAGCAATCTGTATACCATATCAATGTATTTGATTTCCTCCTGATTTCTTTTTCTTCTTAGCATGTTGAGATTTTATAGGATGTTGTAAAGAATGATTCCAGGATCACATAGAGTCAATAGTCAGGAATGGGTGTCTGATTTTGTTGTTGTGGGCCCAAAGTGTTTAAAGCCAAAAAATTAAATTTTACCAAAAAATAACTCAATGGATAGAATTATCTTGTGCTAGAAAGATGTATTCTTTGGAGAATAGATATATAAATTTTTTTGTACTTTTCATTCATTAAAATCATTTGACTTTTGGCTTTTCTTGAGTGACTGTGATTACTTCATCCAACATCAACAGCTTTTGTAAATAAATATATCATTTCAAATTACCATTTAAATTAAAATGTTTCATAAATATGACATTAAACAGAAACAATTTATGTAAGAAATTGTACTGTAAACAAAGCATACCTATGATCGATAAATGAACAACTTGAGATGCAGCTTTGCCTTGTTTGTTTTGAGCTGTACACCTGTAACTTCCTTCATCTTGTCCTCTTTCAACTGTTATTATATGAAGTGTTCCATTATTAAACACTCTATGCCTTCGGTTCAAAGGGAGTTTTCTTCCTTCTGGTGATAGTTACATTGTAGTTTTATGCATTCAGTTATTCGTTTAAAAAAGTTTTACCTTTTTCCCAAGTGATTAAGTCAATAGGATATCCTGCGACGGGACACGAAATATACAACGGTTCCCCGGCTACTGCAGAGATGTTCGGCATCGATCTGATATATGGCAAGCCTTAAAAAAATATATTCATGGTAATTAGACAGTAAAAATAAAATAATTAATGGTTATACCATAAACCCTCATTTCAGCACTATGAGTAACTTCTCCTACACGATTAGAAGCAGTACATTGATAGATTCCTCCATCTTGAACATGAACATTACTGATGTTAACATGGCTTATAACATCACCATGTAGTGTAACATATTGTCCAATAACAAATCTAAAAACAAAGTCTGTTAGTTACAATAAAATTTTATTTTTGAAGGCTCAGAAGAAGTATATTTTTTTTTAAAATGCATAAAATAGCCTGTCTGTAACAATTCTTTGTGTCTATAAAATAATCAAATTATTATTATTAATATTAATTATTAGATTTTGTTTAATCCTAAGTCTTAACCATTACATTTAGACTGATCATATCACCAAAATTTCTATTTATATTGACCTCACAAAATGAACTACACTGGAGGATTTCCTCTTCGATAATTGTTATAGAATAAAAATAACATCAATTTATTTATTAAAAGAAAGAAGAAAAAACTCCATTTCTAACAAATCAGAAACTTTAAAGGTACATTAGTTTAAAAGTTGTACCAGACTTGGCAAGGTTTCCGGACTATTCTTCTAATTTTGATTATGTCTAGGTCATTGAAAGATATCTGAAGAATGTGTGGTGATTAGTGACCGTTAATCGATAATTATTTAGAAATCGTGAGATGCGGTCTGGTGTGATGTAGGTTTCAGAAAAACATTTTCTTTATCGTGCCAACGTTTCGATCTTTATTGAGATCATCTTCAGGGCTCAAAGTGTTTGTCTTCTATTCAAGAATGGCACAATTACACAGAAGACAAACCCTTTGAGCCCTGAAGATGGTCTCAATAAAGATCGAAATGGCACGATAAAGAAAATGTTTTTCTGAAACCTACATCACATCAGACCGCAACTCACGATTTCTGAATAATTATCTGAAGAATGCCCATCTTTTCATAAAATATTAACAGTATTCTATTTTTTCAGATTTTTGATTTTTTAATGCTTCTCTATATGTTGCACATAAATGACCATCAAATTGTTTTAAATTTTAGAATGTTGTTGGTCCATGGAAGTTCACCTATACCACTAACCATCAGTATTGAGACTAGTGCTTCGAGTAAACTCAGTAAATTTAAACTAAGTTCACTCAGAGCACTCTTCTCAATTCTGATGGTTAAGCTTAGGGTCTCGGGGCAGTGAGGCCATAGGCCTGTTGTTATCTCTCACCGACACTGTTGCCTCTATCAAAGATACTGACATTAGTTAAATATGTATTTTTACATATGCAAAACTGATTCAGTAGTTTTTGCGATTATAGAGTCGGAATCAGAATTTTCACAACGTGTGAGACGTGTAGTTATACCCGAAGCCGAAGAGGTTGCTGCCTGTCAGGAAAGAAAGATGGAAAATGGATGTCACGAATCCCTGGCAGATATTTTTTTAAAATCTTGACTATCCTTATTTTTATTTAATATGTTTTTATATAACCTCTAAACATTCCTGGCAATAATAAGAACAGAGTGCAAAATTTTCAGCAAACCCAGTGTAGGAGTTTTTGCTTCTATAGTGAACATTGGCTTTTATATGTATATATAACACTTTTGCTAAAATGTGTCGTATTTAGTGACTGTTAATTAATTATTTGGAGATCGTGAGATGCGGTCTGGTGTGACGTAGGTTTAGAAAAACATTTTCTTTATCGTCAGATGATCTCAATAAAGATCAAAACATTGGCAAGATAAAAAAAATGTTTTTCTAAACCTACGTCACAACAGACCGCATCTCACAATCTCCAAATAATCTTTTGCTAAAAATTACTAATAACATTAATATTAATTAAATATTAAGCTTTTTTTTCTGTACCAACATATAATAATCTGAACTGAATTGAGGTGAACTAACCTTAATAATCCGCAGAATGTACAAACATTAATATTAATTAAATAATTAACCTTTCATTTTGTGGCAAGGGAAATCCATCAATTGTCCACGTGATGTGTGGAGTAGGGTTTCCGGTTGCTATACATTTTAAAGACATGGCTGGCCCTGGTTGAACTGTCTGCTGGATAAATTTGTAAAGAAATTGTGGTTTCGAAGCTAAAAGTACAAATTAAATTTGTTTAAATCCAATTAAATAATATAGTAATTGTTCAACCTCCTAATATAAGTTGTACAGAGCTTTGAAGTGAGCCTTCTTCATCACGGACGAGACATTGATACATTCCAGCATCTTCTCTTCCAACTTTAGCTATTTCAAGCTTCCCTCCATCACCTGGATTGTTTCCTTTTGGTCAAAAGTTATTCTCATCTTGATTTAAAGATACGCTCAATATTTACCTGGTCTCGGGGAGTTTGATGTTATGATAGGGTTTGCATCTTTCAACCAGGTGATGCTTGGATTTTGTCCACCATTCACAACACATTTCATTTCAAAGTGTTCGCCTACATCCACAACAACTTGCCCACTTGGTTGAAGTATAACAGATAATGGCACAGCAACCTACATAATTTCAAATAAATCACATTAAAAAGAATTATTAGTAGTATAAAATGCTGATTCACAAAACTTTTTTTACAACAGTATTTATTTTTATTTTTATATTACAAGTAAAATTGTTGATATGTAAAAATTTCAAATTAAAAAAAAGTAAATAAAATAAAACAAATTCATTTGTCAAGAAGTCATGAGAGTGTTCTGTACTGTCTAGTCAGTTCTGCTTTTTTAGTCTTGTATGTGGAGTCCAAGTCAGTCTTTTTTCGATATACAGCCTGAGATAGCAGACATGGTCAACTTTAGGTAGGAATATGTGATTTACTTATGTATATATGATGATGTAGTGGTGGCACTATTCCACGTTGGAAGGGAAAAGTTATGTGTTGTCTTTTGTCAACATTTATTTTTATCTGCCCCTTTTTCAACCAAAGTTCTATGTTGAATAGGTGAGCCCATCGGGAGTGATGTGAGAAGAAGGGATTTTTATTGGAAAATATCAGCATCCACAAAAGTGTGAATGAAATGGGTAGGTCGGTTAGTAGCAGTGTACATTGAATAAAGGTTAGGACCAAAGACACTACCTTGTGGGGCTCCACCCTTAACAAGATATTAGTCAAAGGAAGATGTTCCTTGACTGATCTGAAAGAAGTGGTCAGTCAGGTATGATTGGAATATGAGGACTTCCACAGCAAACTTGATGCCAGACCTTATCAAATGCTTGAGCAACATCAGGGAAAGCTCCTGAGTCTAGAACATGGTAGCTGGATTATGGAGTGGTGACGGAAGCTAAACTGGTGAGATGTGATAATGTTTTGTTCTTCCAAGATGGGAAGGATTATTTTCAGAAGGAACTTCTCTAGGATTTTTCCTAGTATAGGTAAGAGGTTTATCGTGTGATAGGATGTGGTAAATGGTTAGGCTTATGAAGCTTTGGGATTATTTTACAGTGCAAAACTTCCATTGTAAAGGAAAATGAGTAGTTCTTAGGACAGCATTATATAGATATTAGGAAGAGCTTTTCGAGATAGGGATTTCAGAGGTTATAAAGTTATATCCTGGAGCTTTCTTTTAGGGAAGCTTTTTGTTGATGTACTGGATTTCTGAAGAATGAAAAGCTTTTGACGGAAGGGAAAGAGGTAGTGGTTGTACTAGTTACTTTTCTATGGTTTCTATATGATCAGGATCTATTATATCAGGATGTAGGCAAACATTTGGAAAGCTGTTGGTTGAGGAGTGAAAATTTTTCTTTGTCTGACTTGACCCATGATCCGTCATTATTGCGAAGTGGAAGGGAAGTATGGATGATAGGATGCATTGGGTTTGCAGTTCATAACTTTGTACTACTGCATTTTTTTTAATTTAGTTTGACATCAAACATTTATTTTAAACTAATTTATATGATGTTTTAGCTTAATTGTAGTGTATTCAAATAGTATTTTTATATATTTTTTTTAATAAAAATTAATTTCAGTTATTTCTATGATTAAAATTTGATGTAAATACATGAAGTGTGGTGCTCTTCTTTTGGTGGCCAACAGAATTGTTAACTATACATGTCCAGACTCCAGCATCATTTAATTCAACCCTTTCTATTAATAGAACTTCTTGAGCACTTCCGATCCTGCCTCCAAGTCTGATTTCCATATCACCATTACTACCTTCTTTTCGCCAACTATAACATTGTCATTAATTTTTTTTAATTTAAAGAAATTTTTTATTTATGAATAATAAGGCTTACACATATGAAGGAGGAGGATTTCCCTGAGCGAAGCATGGCAGAACAACTGTTTGGTCCTTTTTAACATGTACAGAAACAGAACTTTCAAGAATACGAGGTGCCACTTGAACTAATGAATCTATAAAACCAAACAACATCAAAGATTAAAAATAGTTCTCCTAAAAATTTCTTTCTTTAAACTACCTGTGACAGTAAATCTTATCCTATGAACACTTAAGAGAGAATGACCAGTCAGTCTGTTTATAGCTCTGCATTGGTAACTACGGTACACATCTGCTTCTTCCAAAAGGCGTATCATGAGTTCTCCAGTTGGAAGCATATGATATTTCCCATCTAAAGTTAAAGACAATGTTCAATCTACTTATGATTTAAACTTAAAATTCCTCACCTCCTTTGTTTGTTGGATATATATTAAAAGAAGAGTCTTGCAGCCATGATGTAATGGAAATAAATTCTTTCATAAAATTAGGGACTACACATTTCAAAACGGCAGTGTTTCCCCTGTAGTAACTTTTGGCAGACTCTGCCTGAACCTCAATATATTGCAGAACAACTGAAATGTACGGAGAAAAACATGAAATATATGCAGACAAACATATAATAAAGAAAAAACACTTGGGAAGAACAAAAGGTTGAAATTAATTCCCCTATTTCTCCTTTCACATACACATACACACATGATTTGTTAGTGGTTAATGAAGACTATGGAGGCTAATGAAAACCTTGACGACCCATACGAGGAGGAGCAAAATAGTCCTTTTTTTAGACGCAGTGCATATCCACTTCAAACAAATCTAAGACTAAGCTGAAATTCATTCCCCGAAAAAAACTATTTTAATATGTAATTTATTCCAATGTTTTGTTAATAAATTGACGCCTCGTTGAATAGATCGTACCCCGAGATGCATACTTGCCTGCTTTGACACGGACGTCCCTTGAGACTATAGTGCCTGCGGTGTTTTGAGCGAAACAGCGGTAAGTCGCAGCATGAATGTCGTGTCTGTAGGCTGAAGGGTGAAAAGGTAGGAATTTCAAAGTTCCGTTCTCGAGGATATTCAATATCCCCGGTATCAAAGAGAGGGGCTTTCCGTCAGCGAATTTCCACGTTATTACAGGCTTTGGGTCACCGGCTGCTTTGCATTCTACTTGGCCACCTGTTGAATTGGAGATGTGGATCACCGACCAGGGCTCGCTCACCCACCAAGGCCCAACTTCGCTTCCAACACCTGTAACAATTTAAAACAACGTTAATTAACAATATAGGTGTGAAGATTTCCAAAAGGGAATCTTAAACAGGGTTTTGTAGAAATTAAGTGTAATGTAATATTAAGATTAGACGTAAGAATATTTCGGCTAATTGTTGGGAAATCATATTGTGCAGGATTGGGCAATCGGAAGTGGCTTGGAATCTCGGGAGCCGACCTCGTCTTTCTCGAAAACTCCAGACGCAGCTAAACAAAGCTGGCGAAATGGTAACAGCTGGATGTTTTCGATTGAGCAATGTGGGTCGATCCCTACAAAAATTGGCTGTTGTGCTGACGAGTGGCTTTATTGCTCAACCCCCAGGATTAGCTAATGCCTGGACTCATCCATAATAGCTCATTGACCTGGAGAGGACAAGGGCAGTCGAGCCACCATAGCAGTATTTCCTAAGCGTAACTGTTCCCCACCTCCTCCCTGAACTGATGGATACAAAACACAATCGGAGTAAGAAGTCAGTAGTAAAGTCCGTGGTCCGGGAGTCCGCAGTTGAGTCAGTCGTTGAGTCTCGTGGAGACGACGATGAGTTGAAAAGAGAGGCGGTCAGCGGAGAGCTGTCGCGGTCGGGCCGTAGGAATAGGCGAGGAGGAGCCAAAGTCGAAGAGGAGCAGGCCCGGAGAGGACCAGGAATTGGCCCGAGATTGGCCGAGAGTCGTCGAGGAGACGACCAGAATTCGGCGAGAAGTTCACCAGGAAGAGACGAGTCGAAGAGGAGTAGGCCAGGATCCGTCGAGGAGTTCGCCCGGAGGAGCCAAAGAGTCGTCAAGAAGACGACGGCGAGGAATTCGCGCGAAGGAGCCGGAATCGGCTTAGATAGTAGAATAGTAGAAAGTGATGGGAGGGTGTTCAACCGTCAAGCCCGGGCAACCTGACACATCTTACCTCTAAAATGCTTGACGGGCCTAGAGTGGAGTAGCTACCCGCTCGGAGCACCCTTGCGAGCGACAGCGTTCGCGCTCGTCCGTTCGATCGAGCCGTGAGCCGCGCACGAAAAAAACCGCTCACCACAATTGGAAAATACGACAAGAATAAAGAAAAGAATATATATCCCAATGGTCAATGCTAATAATAAAAACTAGATGCAAATTATTCCAAGTTCACTCCCAAAGGAACTGAAGATGCATCAACTGTGAATCCTTTCCTCACCCCCCGTTGTCCAAAGAATAAGTAGCTACTGATATCAGCTCAGAAATCATCGATAATAAAGAGAAGAGTCCGATATTTGGAACATCGCAGCAAATAAAAATAACCAATTTCACCATTTGGTAATGTATCCCGACTCATCGGTACAAGTATGGCTTGAGCTAAACAAACAAACCGGACGGGCAGAGTGGACAGACAGTGTAAGCTTGAAGAGAGAGACATTGTGGTTTAGTGTATGTAATTGTAAAGTAGTTAATGTGCTAAATAAATATTGCACAAGATTTAGAGGTTTATATCCTAACGTCTTTTACGATGTTACAGTTGAGAAGCCGGATCGACGAAAATAAAGACAAATTTTTCAAAGTCTATGCGCTTAGAAAAAACTTCCGAGTTTCAAAGAGGTCCAAAGTTCCACAATTTTGGGCAAGATCACAGGATGGTCTATTGAGGAGACACGGAGCGATCGGGATCAGAAAGAACAACGCCAAAGGTCTAGGGGAAGGACAGACGCAAAAAGTGGCAAGTTAACAAGGAAAAGGACACACGCCAAAGATTTGCGAAGCAGTCTAAGGGAAGGACAGACACAAACGCATCACTTGGAATTGGTAAAAATCCGAAACCGAGTGCATTGAATCTCTGTGGCCCATCACAGGCATATGGCAGACCATATAGTAAGAGCCCCATCATGCGAGAATGCTATAACTACTTACTACATCCAACTAATGGTGCATCCCGGACGGTGGGTAAGGAACGATGAAGTGAAGTGCCCTCACACTTACATAACCTCAACCATTCTTATGTGACCTCTTGCCTACACGCGGTATACGCTGTTAAAGCCTCCTATGGAGGGTGGGACCGAGCAGAAGAAGGCAACGCACCTGTTTACCCTATAAAGAATAGCAAATACAAACCGCAAGTGTTCCTTTGAATGGGGAGGACATTGAAGCCAGAAATGGCCGATGACCTCCTCCTGAATATATAATGTCGATGATGATGAAACTGAGGGTAAACAAGAGTGTGAATCTGAAAAGTTGAGCTTCATATTCACGGGATCACTTTTAATCACCCTGGTGGCCAAAGGGTGGAAATCTTTGTCTCAATCTTTTGTATCCTTTTTTACTCCTGAAACCTATCCTAACCCTTGATTACAAGGCGAAAAATAATGGTGCAGTACAGATAGCGTGGCGAACCCTCTAAAGCACAAACTGTATTTGTATGCAGATGAAGAAATAACTTTATGGGCAAACGGGGGGTGCGGGGTTCAGTCTCGCAGGTGGGTCGGCAAACTAGATGCTATGTGAAAAGAAGGGGACGGAGCATGACCGACTGAACTGCGAGGTCAGTAACTTCCAAGCCCATAACTTATTATGGTTGGATTCGTAATGGATTGGTGGTGATACTTCTGGAGGGTATTTAGGGCTTGATGCTGTCGTTCAGGTGGTTCTGCTTATCAGAACTTTTACCTCTTACTGGGCTCCCCTACAGGGGTGTTAGCATTCCACTTAAATCGGAAGTCAGAGTTTTTGTCCTTAGGCTAGGGCTCCCTTACACTAAGGGGTGATAGTACGACCAATTTTATCGACGGGAGAACATCCAGAGGTTCAGACAGAACTTGTTTCAGCCCTTCGAGCTTCTCGGGGTTCAGGCGCTTAATGCTGGCCCTCCCTTCGGAAAAGGCAAGTGGGGAAGAATTTCATCTTCATCCTTAGGGATTGGTTCTTTTTCTGCACGTGAACTTACGTAAAAAGCACCATTCTTTTCTAAGTAGAAGTGCGTCGCCTTTTGTTAAACAAAACAAAAACTGATAAGGCCATGCGCATTAGAATGCATCGCTTCAAAATTCCAAGCGCCAGGGTTCGTTTTCCTCTCAAGATCTTTATAAAACAGATAATTTATTCGAAAGTCAAAATTTCTTAGTGATGAAGTAGATTCGCATGTCTGTCTCTAGTACTTAACCGTTGAAAAAGCACCTTTCCAACAATGGATGAATTGGAAATAAATCAATCGGAAAGCACGAATTGCGCCCGCACTGGATCATGTCAAATCTGTCTGGCTGAATATATGGCTTAATTGTCATTGGGCGGAGTTTTCCTTGTCGGTTTGTGAAAAAATATATGTTGCTGTGTCCAGACCGATATTATTTACGATGTTGTTCACATCTTGGGGAATTCAACTAAATTAGATCGATTGAATCCACACACTTCTGATTGTTCCTTTGTGAAGTCAAGAATTTAATTTTTTGCAGGCTGCGACGCCTGCCATCAAGTAGGGGCAGCCCCAGCAGGGAATGGACGGAACCCCACGGATTTCTCGCGACTAATACTTTTAATGTTAAAATTAAGGCCAGGCTTTATCTAGTCACCATCGACACCTTTTCCAAGCTCACTGAAGATTCTTTGATCTCAGAATCCGGGGCGCACCCCTCAATCAGCTCGAGACCGACCAGCGCCGAAGCCCCAGACGGTCAACAAGGGCGCCAGCAGAGGAAGCAAGAATCGAGGGGATATTAAATTACATTTTTTTTTTGCTTCATCCAGAGGATATTTTGCCAGTTTTGAACCCCCCAAGAGGCAGTCAGGGAACATGAGGGAAGGTCCGACTGCGGCACCCGAGAAATCACGAGGTGCCCACACCAGGTGAAGCGGAGTTTATCTCCAATTATTTTAATTTTTTTTCCTTTGTCTCATTTGAGGGATGAGCATGCACTGCGTTCATTCTAATCCCTGAAGACCGGGGTTCATTTCAACCAAGAAAGCCGCCTTATGCGGACCCCGGAGCCCCGGGCCCAACCCCCGGCCACATCCCGGTATTCAATGATTCTCCATAGAATAAATTCTATTCTATTCTTCATTTAAATGATTTTTATATGCTCATATTAATAGATTTTAAGAATTTGTATAGTAAGTCAAATACTGATACATTATTACAGGCTAATAATGTAGTAAGATTCCAAGTGGGAAATCTTCATCTTTCTCTTTTATAAAGTCCAAAACTTTGAACTTATTATTTAGAACTATTGAGGCATAAGATGAAACAGTGGATTTCTTTCTATTTTCTTCCTGAATCTTTTGATACACTTCGCATTCTCGGTTATTTGCAAGGTGTTGTTTTTTGCAATGAACGCA